ATAGATTTTTGTAGAACTTGGATTATTCATATTAACTTTAAGATATATAATCTTTAGCTTTACCGGTTGCAACCACCGCAAAGCATGTTACTAATATGTGCGTTTCTCTATTATCTATGTCAAGTGTATATTAGGTATTAAAACATTAAATTAATACTCCTTAATTAATGCCGTTAATGAAAACTACGAAATAAAAAATTAAATATTGAACGTTTTTTATTTCACGTATCACGCAGAAAATATCAATAAATACAATTAATAACAACACATTCATCTACATTTTGAATATGATAAATAAACAACAAACTGTTTTCAATATGTACTACTTATTAAAGTTGTTTTTGTTGGTTACATAGTAATCACTTCAACCACTTGAGTGATTAAGATTACAGAATTATTTTAGTGATTAGGATTAGTTCATCAGATATTAAATTCTTTTTTTAATTTATAGCAGCCGTCAGGCACTTAGGTTTTATTTAAATAAATGGTCGACATAACAATTTTTGAATCAATTATTACTAATGTTTAGTTATCAAAACACAACCTCTTAATTTGTTCATAGAAGAATATTAAAAACCGACTGAGAACTTCAATAAAACAGCTTGGTTTAACTTACTATCAAGATTAATAACTGTTGTATAAGGCTATGTTCAGATGGCAAAAACTTGACGCGCGTTTTCAAATCGCGCGACTAGATATTGTGGTATTTTCATACAACTGTACAGAAAAAGTCTCTAGACGCAGGTGATCGCGCGTTGACGCGCGCTTTGATATTATGGTAATGTCCGTATGCTGTTCACTGTTCAGTTGAGCGCGCGCTTTCATCGCGATCGCATGTAATTTTGTTAATTTTCGTAATTATATTTATAACAAACTGGGTCTATTTTTAAAAATTGGATGAACCCAATGTGTACGTTTTCTTTTTCTATATTTTTCTTTATAATATAACCACAAGATAATACCCTCTTCCACGTCCATTTTCTACGTTCTCCCGAACTAGACTGACGAGTACTCTCGCAACGCGCATTAGCTCTCATCATCTGAACTCTCTTCAAATTTGATCGCGCGTTGACGCGCGTTACATGTTATGCGTTACATGTGAACATAGCCTGATCCCTCCTTGAATGTGTTATCGAAATTTTTTCAAAGTCGATATCAGTGTACCTTCACCAACTACGATTGTTGTGTTTGTTGCATTAAATTTTTCTATTGCTGTTTCAATTATGAGGATATCTGCGTCATATTGAGCTTGTTTCACTGCAATATTAGCAGCTGTTAATTTGTCACTTATGACTTAACATGGAAATGAAACGAGATTTATTATTAATGTTAGCGAAAAATTGTTGTTGATTCGCTGGAACTGACATAAATTCATCAAATATAATCTCGGAACCCGATGATCTTTTTGTAGTTCGACGACGTTGTTCTGCAGCTTTAATATATTATGTACTTTCACTGACCACTGTAGCCGTCAAATAGTATAATATCTATAAATTCGTGGAGGCGTTCTTTTCCGCGTCGATGAACGCGCCGGGTACCGCGTGGGAGTTTCCTCCTTTCGCAGGGTTTCATTATTTTCGCACCTCATTAAGATGAGGAGGTGATTGGATTGGGGAGGCCCAGGTTGGTCCGGTATCTATTAATTTTGACAACCGGTTGAGTGGGTTGATCAAGCGTTTAAGTGCCAGATGTGGTAGCCTGCGGTTCCGTGCTAACAGCTAAGATTCTCCCGCGGGAAGCGGCGCTTGTGCTCAGGTAGTCGGGTGTGATGCGGCGCGATGTCAAACATGCCCCTTGAACTGTGGGTAGCTAAGTCCTCTATGTGGAGGTCCCTGGCGTACGCACCACGGGGCGTCGACGATCCGCCTTAGGGTCTTGTTTTTGGATCGCGTGCAGGCGCTTCTTTTGTGAGTCTGAGGCGAGTGCTTACCAGGCCGGGGTCGCATAGGTCAAATGAGGGCGGACGTAGATTTTGAATAGGGCTACGTTCCGCTGGATCGGCATCTTAGAGTTGAACAGGGGGCGTAATATCTATAAAAGAGACACAAATAGGTATTTATACTTGTCTAAGTGCCTGATTATGTATATACGTGGCTTATATGAGCACGATAGTCATCACGATATTTCAGAAATAGTAACTCTTAGGAAAAAATTGTAAAGACCATTTTTGTATAGAATTTAAGGATCTACAACTTTAGCTTGGAACTTTTTTTTTTTTGATAATACCGTTTTCGAGAAAAAATCATATTTGATCTTTGACCCCGAATAACTTTTGTAGCACACATATAATCGATGGGGATTTTTAAAACTTTAATTGTAATGGTAAACCCCAGCTCTCCACCAAAATTTAGCTTTCCGGGAATTTTTGTTATTTCAAATGTTGTTTCAAAATTGACCGGACTAAAAGCTCACAATACCAACCGCAGTAGGCTTGGCGTCTGTGTCAATATTGGTTACAGGCCCGCCACTGTCTCTTAAGTTTAAATAAATTCTTTATTACTATAACTGAGATTTATCTGGACTATTTTCATACCTGTTAAAGAAATTATAATTATATATAGAGTTTGTGCGGAAAGAAAACCTGCGTGGGATTTGATGTCGCAGCAGTGGTAAGTTACCATTGTTTTTTTTTACGTTATGTTTTAGTAAAATTATTATCTACGCATTATACTTAGACCGTAATCAATTAATAGTTAATATGATAAAAAATTCAAAGTCTATAATTTTTGTAAATAAATGTAATGACGCATAGCAAATAAGAATTATATATTATATTGGTTCGCATAACCGCTATGGTTCTCTTTCCGGATAGACTCTATTTGTTGGTATTCTATAAACCTGTGGATATATAAAAAAATTGAGGATAGAGAAATTATATTTATATAATACCGTTAAACGGGGTGAATAGAACTCACGGGGGAATAGAGAAAAAAACTTGGCATCATTTTAAACCTTAATTCATATAACTGAGTGATACCAGTAAACAAAACCGTATCTTTAGTCATTTGGTAGTTTTATTTTCCTTGGTCTGGCAACATTTTATATATGGTAACTTCGCTAAAAACGTCGAAACTAAATTTCAAAGTTGACCAAAAAAAAGTCGTTAAAGTGCAAGTGAGTTTGAACTTTCGTAATTTAGAGAATTTTGGCGATAGAAGTCAATAAATATCTTCTAATTACAGTCAGTGTTATCGTAAATATATTGTGCTGTAATTGTTGAGGTAAGAATATACATTATTATAATTAATTAGACTTATTTTGTAAGTCTAGTTTACTTTAATTTTTTTGAGGTCAAAAGACACGCGAAGGGGGTGAATAGACACACCTGAGGGTTTAATGAGCACGCGAATATGGTTAATAGATGCAGCAAAGGGGTAAATAGTTACGAAAGAAGGGTGATTAGATATGATAAAATCAGGGCTGCCAAAAAGGATAAAGGACTATTTGGTAGTGTTTATCTCCGGTTCAACTTCCACTTTTAGTTTCATTCTTGAAGCTTTTAATTTTGTTTAAATTTGGAATTTTGAGGTTCTTAATAAGTGTACTTGAGATACAATCATAGCTAAGTAATTTATCTAGGTTGAACGATACTGCTGTATCGTAAAATTGTAAACACCGTTAGATTGTAATTTATCTCGCGAGATTGTAAACTGTCGAAAGATTGTGAACCTCAACGAACTGCTTACAATTTAACGTATTATTATTCGGTAGATTGTAATCTATCGAAGTGAAACCGTCAAATTGTGAAACGGCCACATTCTACTTTTCTATTGGTTATAAGAGATGTGACATTCTCGTTTTTGAATAATTTCAAAATTTTCGGAACCCTACACTAATTGAAACATGAAGTTAATGTAATGTATGTACATTTGACAAGTAATGGTTAAATTAGGTTTAACTTTAAAATTAACAAATGAGGAAAATAATCGATTGGATTAATTGACCGAAAATATCACATCACTTATAACCAATAGAAAACAAGAATGTCACATCTCTTATAACCAATAGAAAAGTAGAAAATGGCCGTTCACAATTTGACGGTTTCACTTCGATAGATTACAATCTACCGAATAATAATACGTTAAATTGTACGCAGTACGCTAAGTTCACAATCTTTCGACAGTTTATAATCTCGCGAGATAGATTACAATCTAACGGTTTTTACAATTTTACGTTAACATAGACATCAACGAATTAATTATAATTTAAAAAGTAAAGTTTTGTAAATTATAATTAATTGATATTTTATGTGCGGCCCGCCAATTTTTTTTAAATTGGCCCGTTGATTAAAAATGTTGCTAACCCCTGGTCTAGTCTAATACGATCTTTGTATAAGATTTTCTCATATGTTATGAAAAGAATGAAGAAGATTCATGATGTTTATAGTATATTACAATATTAATAAATCAATGTAAGGTTTTTGTTATTCATCAAGAAATTAATAAAAAAAGTTAGAAATAGAGAAGTTCGCGTATTTTAGAATAGAACATGTTTTCCCTATGACATCATATTTTAAAGAGAGGTCTAAAAATACCTAAATATATCTCGATTTTTCACAAATCTCGTTACATAAAATGTCGGTTCTGATACGAACCTAAACTTTAAAGAAGTTTTTTATTATTTGGAAGCATAAACTTAAATGTTTATCTTTTGTCAAATGAAATTGTACTGTTGAAAAAAGAGTCAAACTATTTTCAGAAAACAAGCCTTTAAAAGAGGGCTATAAATTTTATCAATCAATCAAAAACAATGATTTATCCTTTTCGCAGTGTATAATGACAATAGAATGTCGTATATTTCATCTGTACGTTTTATAGTTTATGTCAACGGTTGTTTGGAGTCTATGGTTCCAACTTCCAAGCATAGCCTAAAGCCTTGCGGCTTGCGTTCTTAATTTAACCGACGCCATTATTGTGAAATAGAATTGTTTTCTCATTTCACGTGTTAATACGAAATTGTATTGTTTATTTCGTGTTGGTATTATATTCCAACCCTAAGATATGGCAGATAACGACGATCTTCTCGACTACGAAGACGAAGAGCAGGCAGATCAGCAAACAGCCGACGGAGCAACCGAAGCGACACCCAAAAAAGGGGTTAAAGGGTCCTATGTATCTATTTACAGCTCTGGCTTCAGAGATTTCCTGCTCAAACCGGAAATTTTACGAGCTATAGTAGATTGCGGATTTGAACATCCGTCTGAAGTGCAACATGAGTGTATTCCCCAGGCCGTTATTGGTATGGACATCTTGTGCCAAGCGAAATCCGGTATGGGCAAAACGGCTGTGTTTGTATTGGCAACGCTGCAACAACTCGAACCATCAGAGAATCATGTTTATGTTCTCGTTATGTGTCACACCAGGGAGCTGGCATTCCAGATCAGCAAAGAGTATGAACGTTTCTCAAAATACATGGCTGGAGTTAAAGTGTCAGTATTTTTTGGTGGTATGCCAATTCAAAAAGATAAAGAAGTGCTTAAAACTGCTTGCCCTCATATAGTTGTGGGAACTCCTGGACGAATCCTTGCTTTAGTCAATAGCAAGAAGCTGAATTTAAAGCATTTGAAACATTTCATTCTTGATGAATGTGATAAGATGTTGGAGTCTCTTGACATGCGACGAGATGTTCAGGAGATATTTAGAAATACTCCTCATGGAAAGCAAGTTATGATGTTTTCAGCTACTCTAAGTAAAGAGATTCGCCCTGTGTGCAAGAAATTCATGCAGGATCCTATGGAAGTGTATGTTGATGATAAGGCTAAACTCACACTGCATGGGCTTCAGCAACATTATGTCAAACTTAAGGAGAATGAGAAGAACAAGAAACTTTTTGAATTACTTGATGTTTTAGAGTTTAATCAAGTAGTAATTTTTGTTAAATCTGTACAAAGATGTATTGCATTAGCGCAGTTGCTAACTGACCAAAATTTCCCAGCTATTGGAATTCACAGAAACATGTCTCAAGATGAACGTCTCTCTCGCTACCAGCAATTGAAAGACTTCCAGAAAAGGATATTAGTGATTCTGATACTTACCAACACAGAGTCGCAAGGGCTGGTCGATTTGGTACAAAAGGCTTGGCAATAACTATGGTTTCTGATGAAAATGATGCAAAGATCCTTAATGTAGTTCAAGATCGTTTTGATGTTAATATCACCGAATTACCAGAGGAGATAGAACTGTCAACTTACATAGAGGGACGATAAATTACAACATCCAGCATTAATTTAAGTAATTCTAAGACTAGTTATAAAACGTTTGATGATCAACAATAAACAAATTGACATTTGGTATTTTGCTTCTGTTTTCTTTTAGTCATGTTGTTAAATTAATTGAAAATTACTTTCTAACACAATAGTCTGAGTTTAACACTACCACTGGAAAAAATATAAATAATATTATTAAAGCATAGCTTAGACTGATTTAAGCTAAGGTGGTGCTTGGGAAAATGAAATCTTAATTTTAAGGATTAGTAAAAAATGTTTTGTTCTTAGGTTTTTTTATCAAAATTTTAAAACAAAGGCAGTTAACTAATTACAAATACTTCTACATAAACCATTTATTTTTAAAACAATAATCTTCTTTGACAAGAATGAAAAATAACTATTATTTACAGAGTATTCTTAGTAAACATCTTTTCATGAGTGAGATGAGTGATCATATCAAGAGCCCATTTTGGTTGATCTCCAGGCACCATGTGGCCTGCATTTCGAACCATTAATTCCACCAGCTTTCCTGCTTGCTTTACATAACCAGCCAACTCACCATCAACCTTCCATTGGTACCTTTTAGCAGTCTTATAGACTTATGATGCTGTCCGTAGTTAGTATGTTTTCGTGTGTATTCTACTTTTCGCCAGTGGCATGTCGAAAAAAGAGTTGCTAACATACGAAAAACTTTAAGATGTTGCCATTGGAGAATCTTAATATAAAGTGAATGGAAGGATCCTCGACCAGTCTTGACTCGAAAGCATCAGTGGCTATACATTCTATCAAGTTGTGTATATCTTTAATCAGAATAACATTACAGCCGCAGATTTTAGGTATACCAGGGAGGTAGAAAATTGTTAGTAAAATTGAAATTATTATAAGTTATATTCACATTAGTATTTGATGTTCTTACATAGTTATTAATGGTAATGGGTGAATTAGAAGATTGGATTACATCTGTAAAATCACAGCATTCTTCTCCCGTTGGGCACACCATTTGTATTGTCCTGAAAGTCGAAATGAAACATTGAAAACAGATTATATGCATCACTATCAGACACTGACAATTTACAAAAGGTCCTAATAATTTACCATAAACAAATATTGTTTTAACCGAACTGAATTAAGCGTTGAGAGTAATTAAAAACCATCATTAAAGTTAATTTTGTATTTTGACAATTATAGTGTTCACTATTGATTTCATCATAAGAATCGCCATTTTGAGTAAAGACAGCCATCTTGTGTGTCAGTACACATAGAGTATTCAAGATGGCGGTTTATGATCAGCTGTGTAAAATTATTTTTACAATAACTTTAAATTTACGTGTAACGTGATTTAAAATATAATTGATATATGATGAGAATTCAAAATATAGTCATGTTTGCGAGCGGTTTAGTTGAGAGCCGTTTCAACTATTAAGGAATATTTTATTGGCAATAGGAGTGTTTTTGGTAGCTTTGTTGTACATAATGATTCAAAAATTTTTGCATATCTGTATAGTTTTTAAAACAGATCCAAGATACTAAGAGACGGACTGATGGATATATCGCATCATAACATGGCATGGAAGGGTAAAAGAAAATTCTTAGACGATAATAAATCAATAGAAGGAATGGATACGTTGAAAAAAAGCGGAAAATAGATAGGAATGGAAACGCTTGGAGGACTCCACCATCGGCGGTCCATGCGAGAAAAGCACAGTAATTAGACTTAAACTGACATGAAATTGATAATCTCAATTAAAAAAAACTTAAAATTATTGACTCTTATTGTTTAAATTAATTTTTATCGTTGACACATAACAACATAATGCTTGAAATAAAAGGCTGTTTTTTTATTAATTTATATTAAACATTGTTTTTTTGGGAAATCTGGGACATCATGAGATGCATGATTGTACCTAAGTCTCGACTCGAGTCTTTCCCTAAGTGGGCTTTTTAATTACAGTCAAAACTAATCTTAGAATAATAAATTAAATATACGTGCCTGTAAACATTCAAGTTAGCAAGGTCCGGTGCCTTACATTGTCCTGGTTTTACACATTTCCCTATTGAACCGTTTGACATGTCGCACACTGGAAAAAAAATTATCTATAGATATTTTTTATTTATGTATATTTTTGCTAATATATATGTTGCAGCCAACTAGCTTAATAAGCTGTTTAATTAACAGCCTAGCCTTTTAACTAGCAGTCTGAAAGATATTCAGTAATAATATGTATCCAATAGGATACTTATTTATTTTATTTACTATAAGTCCAGCAGAAAAACTGTGACATACGAATGTTTCTATCAATACGTTTCGGATCCATTCTCAAATATATTATATCAATATATAAATCGAAGCATAAAAGTTATAATGTAAAAAATAATTCTGCCCGGGTGATGTTTGCAAATATATAAAGTGAAATGGGTTTTGAGATGTCTAGTTAAAAAAAATTACCGCCATTGTTAGCGTAACAGGTCTCAATCAGGAGAGCCAGAAACAGATGTACTCTGAAACGAAAAACATACATAAATTTATTAAGTATATATACACTATTTTGTAAGGTGAAAAGGTGCGGCCATGTCAGACTTGACGCGATGGGCCAACTCAAAGTCCTCTGGTAGTCCTCTGGTAGTCCTCACACATATTTAAAATTATCGATGTTATAGACTCGGGGTTCGCCAAGAGATCTGGGGCTAAAAAGGATTCGCGTTTTTTTGTGATAAGTCAAAAACATAGTCCAACAAGGTGAAGGTAAAAATTATGGGGAAATCAGCTAGTCACAGACGAACATACTTGTATATCTATATATAAAATTCACGTTGTAACTCCCCCGAAACGGCTTGGTCGATTATTATGTACGTCCGGTAGGGCTCAATTTCAAACTATATTTTACCCCTACGTTATAAATACACCTTTTTGAGAATTTTTTAACACGAAATTATTCACTATGGTATAAGGTAACTTAATGCTTAGTATTGACCCGTAATTAAAAAACTTTTTAGATTTTACCCTAGACAGGTTTCAGGACGATTACACATTACGAGAACATAGACAAATCTATTGCACAGGGTTTCGAACCCTCAGTAAACCCAATCACTTTAGTAAAGACTAAAACTGATAATCTACTGTTAAAAAAATACTCACTTCATTTTAATTAAATCACGCACAGGTCCACTTCAATCAAAATACAAACGCAAACTATTTTATATCTAAATGTGATCTTATACAAATATATACTAGCTTCGGCTCCTTGGTTTAAATATTAATAACAATAATACCTCGAAATACAAGTGTTTTGAGATATTTTGCTTTGAGAGTAAGATTTGTGATACGAGGAATCGCACACTACACACCACACTAATAGTTTCTCCCACCTCAGACTGGACATCAATCTGCTTTCGAAGCATTTTTGATAAGTTGGGTTCGCGATTTATGCTTTTTGTACATTTACAAAACATTATCACATTTATTTTATAGCCATTGGTCCGCAGCCTTGCGATTCTGTAACTCACTTTTCGAACTCTCACAGCGGTTTTCACAGCGGAGTTCGCTTATCATAATGCCAAATCATAAAGTGACTACTTCACGACTGATTTTAGCGCAACCGCCGCTGCAAAAACCGCTGTGAGAGTTCGAAAAGTGAGTTACAGAATCGCAAGGCAGGTCTCTATTGAATTAAAGCGTGAAATCATTTTTTTATTTTACAACAACTGAGGTGGTGTTTTGGGTGCTGAATTAATGGCATTTCAATTGATTTCAATGGGGATAATTTCTATTAGCAAAGTTTACGGAATTAAACTCGTACGTCGAGGTACCACTGTATATCATACATGCAATTATAGCTAACTTGTATTGTTCATAGTATATGTTAATAGATAAAGGCCGATTCAGCGGGACCAAGGGGGTCATGAGTCCTTGGGCGTGGAATCACAAATTCTTAATTGATCTTACAAAATAGCTTTTAAATTTACAGATTCTGTTTAAAATCCAGACCAATATCACTAGTACATTTTTCACACATATTACTAAACTTTTCCTCTGTAACCCCACACCGTCCCCCGAGGCACAATTTCATCCGTCTTTATGTTTTGTACATAATTTGACAACAATAATTTAAAAAAAGCATAATGCATACAAGAGAATAATTATTATTGATGCCATTTTAATATATCAATTATACATAAACGTTAATGTAAAATAACATACGAACAGTATATGAAAATATGTATGATAGATATCAGAATTTCTGGGGAATTGCAAAAGATAAGGTTTTAATAAACAATTAAAAAAACCAAGACACTTATCTCGTATTTAGAATCCCGCTGTCAATTGACCGTGTCATCATACAGTGCTGATATCATATCTATGGATATAGTTCTAGTAATCTCGGCCGGATTTAGGCGGAGGGCGAAGGGCAACCACAGCCCCGGGGCCTCCACAAAAGAGACTTAAAGGAATAGGTTACAACATTTTTAATAAGAGACTTTGACTGAGATCTACTATATTTAAATTTTTATTTTATGATCTCCAACATGTTAAAATAAGGACAATCAGATACTTAAGAAAATATATAATGGTCTCTGGCAGAATGACCAGCGCTGTGGAACTTTCTGCTCCTCAGCATAATGCTGAGCCAGGGCCAATTACAACCACAGCACACACACATTGCACACTGGAAGCGAACCGAATGGCAAAAGAAAATTTCTTAATTTGAATTTTTAATTTTATTCTATTTTATTTTATGTTTTTTTTTTCTTTAAGTATTGTTATTTTGTGTGTTTATGTGTGTGTTTTTTGTTTGTAATAAATGTTATGTCTATGTCTAAAATCGCAGTCACTATTCCTATGGATATCCGAATGAATAGTCACTGCGTTATTCGTAAGGAATGTTCTAATTTCGTGTTGATAGATTATAGGCTTCCGAAAATTTTGAAATTTAAATACCTCGTTTGTATTTCCTAATTAGTACTTGTATTTCATTGTTTGCAACTTTCTGTATTATATAATT